TAATATTGTTAAACTGAACCCTTCTCAGCATTACAAGGATCTAAGACATCTCCAGAGGCCTCGGGATGGAAAATGCTGTCCACATCCAAAGAAAGAACTATGGAACTTGAACCGCTATCACTTATTTTTACCTTCTGTTGAGTTTTGTTTCATCTTTCTGATGGTTCCTCCTATTGGTTTTAATTTTTACTTACAACTTCACTAATGTGAAAATGTGTTTAATAGGAATGTAAATGTGAAGCCTATATCAGATTGTGCTCCATCTTGGGGAAGGTGGGGGGGAGGAAGGGGGAGAAAAATTTTCAACTCAAAAGCATATGGAAGTGATTGTTGATAAATAAAAATAAATTAATAAAAATAAAAAATAAATAAAATAAATAAATATGCCTTTGTAAAAACTAATCAATGTTAAATGACTGAATGAAATTGGAGTGCTAATCACTGCTGCCTAACAATGGAAGCCCCTGGGAGCTCAAGCTGATGGCAGTAGAGAAAAGAGCCATTCAAACCCCTCAGGTAAAACCCAAAGAGGAAGATATAGCTGGCCTAGCTTCAAGGGAGAAGACAGTTTAAGTATACCATATAATACCTATCATTTGGAAATAATATCTATCCAGCCTAAAACCCTTTCTAAACTTTTCACTTTAGGAAAGTAGTAGAAGGTCAAGAGCAAAGGCGGAGGGAAAACTGGGATAAAGCATTAGACTTAAGGTCAAGAGGAAGATCTGGGTTCACATTCCAGTTCTGCCCCAAAGAACTTACCTAGGTAGTAAGGGTCAAAAATGGAATTTGAACCAAGGTCTGTCCCCTACATTAAACTGCTTCCCAAGAGCCTAGATGGAAGCGAAATGGAACAGAAACTTCAGCCTAAGGGATATCAAAGGAAAAAATATTGATATTGTATCCTGCATTTTAGGCACAAGTCTGCCAGAAATTTTTTTTCAATTAATTTAACATTAGTCTAAATTCAAGCATTTCTAGCTTTGAGAGAGAAACGTTCCATTTAACATAGTTCTCCCTCTGCCCCCTTCCCTACCGTCTCCCCAAGACAATTTGAAGTAACAATTGTAGGTATCTTGAACACAATATGTTAAAACGCAGTTTTGGGGTTGGTACTATAAAAATAATGGTTACTAATAGCTATTCATTTCTTTCCTTGACAACTCTCCTAAATTATTTTCCGGTAGTAGTCAGAGGGGACCTTTCTGAGATCAATACCCTAATCTCATTAGAATGTGAAAAACAATGGTTCTGAGTGGAAAGTTTTTGTGGTTGTTCTAGACAGTTCTGCCCCTTACTACCTAGGAAAGTCCCTGGGGTAAAATATTTAGCCTTTCTGGGCCTCAGTTTCCTTATTTGTAAAATGAGGTTAGACAAGTTGACTTCTCTGGTCCCTTCTAAGTTGACCATCACATAACTTCTTTGAATTCAGTTTAAAGGATTTCTAACAGGAAGAATGCAGTGTGTTGTAGTCTAGGGGTTCTTAATCTGGCATCCTGGAACTTTAAAAAAAATAGACAGATAGACAGACAGACAGACAGAGATCTGCATTTGAATTGGTTTCCTTTGTAATTCTATATATTTTTCATGCATTTACAAACATGATCCTGAGAACAGGTCCCTAGGTGCACCAGATACACACACACACACACACACACACACACACACACACACACACACACAAGTTAAGAACCTCTGGTGTAGTGGAAAGAGCATTGGTCCGGGCTTTAAGAGAGTGGGTTCTGGACCTAGACCTATAATTCACTAATTGTGTGACTCTGGGAAAATCACTACTCTTCTCTGCACTCCCAGCTCTGGTTACACTTAAAAAGATCCAGAAGCTGCTGTGAACTATGGCGGATGACTCCAGGAAATAGAGAAAGATTACCAGACTCCCATCTTACTACTTCTAACCTACAAAGCAGGCTCTACAGAATACTGGAAAGTCCATTGGCTTTGTAAGCAGAAGAAGCTGGCTCTGACACTCATTAGGTGCCTATTCACCTCTCTGAACTATTTTTTCAACAGTAAAACGGAGATGATGGCTGCATTACATTCCTCCAAAGGTTGTGAGAAAAATCCTTTGAAAAGCTTAAAGAACTAGAGAAATAAATTACTATTATTCCCTCCTCTATCAAACTACAGGTTCGTATGAGAGAATCTCTAAGTTCCCTTTCAGCTTTAAAAATTCTCTGCCATCTTGGGGAAGAGGAAGGGAGGAGGGGTGGGAGGGAAGGAGAAAAAAACTGGAGCTCAAAATCTTATGAAAATAAATGTTGAAAACTATTTTTACATGTAATTGGGGAAAAAACACTATCAAGTGGGGAAAAAAGAAAAAATATTTTAAAAATAAAAATAAGAATTCTCGGATTTATTTGTGATAGCTTCCCTGCCCTGCCCCAGTCAGCCAGTCACCAAGCATTTATTAAGTGCCTACTACTGTGTACCAGGCACTATGCCAAGCTCTGGGGATACAAAGAAAGGTGAAAGACAGTCCCTCCTCTCAAGGAGTTCAGTCTCATGGGGGAGACTACGTGTAAATAACTATGTGCAAACAATCTATAAACAAGATAAACTGAAAACAGCCAACCAAGGGAAGGCACTAGAATTAAAGGGAACCAGTAAAGGCTTTTGAAGGAAAAGGGGATTTTAGCTGAGACTTGAAGGAAACTGAGGATGCTGGGAGGGGAAGGCAGGCTCGGGGAACAGAGCCAGTCAAAATACCCCAAACTTAGAAATGGAGGGGCTACTCTGAGTAACAGTAATGAGGACAGTGTCACTGGAGGGCAGAGGGCAAGTCAGAGAATAAGGTACAAGACTGGAAAGATGGGGGGAGGTTATGAAGGGCTTTGAACACCAAACAGAGGACTTTATGTTTGCTCTTGGAGGTGTTTGGGAGCCACCCCCCACCATCATGTTTCCCGTGGTGCTACAGTAAATAAAAGCTCACATTTAACATGCAACACTTTAAGGAGATGGTGTGATACAGCAAAAAGTAGGCTGGGTTTGTTTCCCAACCCTACTCCCCATTACCTGTGTGACCTTGGATCAGTCCTTTAATTTCCTCAGCTGCATAACGAATTAGAGGTGGCTGCTAAGGTCCCTTTCAGCTCAAAACCTAGGACCTCACAAGGTTCGCGAAGAGTGACACTCGTGTCCTTGGATGAAATAAGATGCTGTTTACTTGGTTTACCTTATTTAACTCTCAGAACCCTGGTAGTTAATTCAATAAATATTTATTGAGTGTCTTTCTATGTGAACAAAAGCAGAAGACTGCACACTGAGCCACACATGGCCCACCCCATCCCCCTGGCAGATATTAAAAGTCAAAAATGAAAAACTGACCCAGTTCTTCAAGGAAGCATTTTCCAGCATCCTCCGAGTCTCTTTCTTCCTTCATTTCCAAACCTAGGAAACCTACAATGGGAAGGTTGCTGAGCAAGGAATCTTGCATGCATCCCTGTGAAGAACATGATCTAGTCTCCCAGAATCTCCCAGCCTCGAAGAGTAAAAGTACAGTCAGGTTTTCATTACACTTAGAGGTGGCTTGTCCATTTGGTCTATGACCTCAGCCAGAGCTCAAAGTGGCTGTTTTTGCATTTTGGGGGGAGCAGCAGAAAAATTTAAACTAAATCCATCTATTTAAAATAAATTCAGTTGTAGGGGAGAGGGAAGGGAAGACTCTGGGACACAAGGCTGTGTGGGGGCAAATACACCACCCTATGTGTACATGTGTGGGAGAATTGGAAACCCAAGGTGTAGGCTTCAGGAGGATTGGTTTAAGCTGCTGCAGGAGGAGTCAGTATAAAGCAGGAGAGGGGAACATGGGTGCTGGTGGGGAAAATGTGATCTGGTGGCTTCCCATTTTAACTAATTAATCTCACTAACTAGATGCTAAGACCAGTTGTTCTTACCTCCTGAAGAGCTTCAAATATAACTGGCACCCTCTAAATTTTAATGTCCTAGGGAAAAATTCCAGTCTCCCCAACTAACTTATACTTCTATCTGTTCTACTTCCAGGAAATGTTAGATTTGCTGTGATCTTATCAGCTTTGTAATTCCCTGGACACCCACCACCACTGTTATCACTTAGCATGCATTTGAGGGATGTAAAATCATTTTAAAGTGTGCCTGCAGAAGATAATCAGATTATATCTACTTTTGATTTTTTTATGGGATTTGGGGTCCAGATTCTCTGCAGCACTCTGTTCCCTTAGCATCACTGTTCCTCTCTGCCTTGATGGTACCAAGTGAGCTGTGCCCTCAAAATTTTTGTGCATGGTATCCAACTTATTCTATCATTCAATTTATTCTACAGTCCACTTATCTACTTATTCTAGATAGTATCTTCCATAGCCCAATGTTATGTGCAAATATCTGCTTAGTAAATGTGCTTTCAGAAGGAGGAGGAGGAAGAAGAAGATGGTAGCCAACTGCCCAGGATAATGAAGACCGTAGATAGCAAGAGAAGTCCCTCAAATTTGCTGAAGATCTCTAAGCAGGACAGGAGACCACCAAACAGGCCTCTGATCTTGTCTGGACAGAAGGTCCATGGGCATAGAAGGCTCGGTCTTCAAGGAGAGAGGCTGCAGTCCTACGGGGGCAGGGGTGCCATTCTCTGTTGGTTTCCTGCTTTGTAGCATCCCGCTGTGATGTTGTGGTCAAAATATGCTCTTATTGCCTTTAGAGTCTCCACTGTTTGACAGGCGAAGGGAAGAAGTCTTCTGCTCAGTTACTACCAGGATTTATAAAGACCAAGGGGAAGAATGGTGGGGAGAGACCCAAGGGAAACTGTTGGGAAGTAGACCCAATTTCTACCTGCTATTGTTGTTGTTTGTCCTCTGTTCTCCTTCTTTTCATTCATTCATTCTTTTTTTTTTTTTAGTTAGGCAATCAGGGTTAAGTGACTTGCCCAGGGTCACACAGCTAGTAAGTGTCAACTGTCTGAGGCCACATTTGAACTCAGGTCCTCCTGATCCAAGGCTAGAGCTCTATCCACTGTGCCACCTAGCTGCCCCAATTTGTCCTTTGTTCTCAAAGAGAACAATGACATCCCAAAAGTGATGTCTTGACTTGCTAATGGATTGAGTTTAACTTCCCATTGCCAGCCATCTTGACTTTTATCTTGCTGGATTCCCATCCAGAGCAAAGCCTGAGACAAGAAAACCACCGACTACATTTGTCTTTTGCTGGTCCTTCCTGTGACATACAGAGGTGAACTTCTCTTTCCTGAAGCAGAATGGACAGCTGACATACCAAAGTCAAAGTTAGGCATGGTGAGAATTGAGCAAGTCAGCTAAGTCCTAGTCACCTCTGTCCAGTAGCTGCTGTGGCTGCAACAGAAGGAAAAGAGAGAATGGTGGGGATCTTGTAAAGAAATGAGTGCGGCAAAGCAGTGCAACCACTAGTGAGAGAGAAGGAGAAAGAGAACAAGTGAAAGAGAGAGGGAGAAGAAGACAGAGAAACAGAGAGAGAAACAGAAATTCAGAGGGGGGGAGAAATAGAGAGAAAGAGAAAAAGAGAGGAGAGGGAGAAAGAAAGAAAGAAAGAAAGAAAGAAAGAAAGAAAGAAAGAAAGAAAGAAAGAAAGAAAGAAAGAAAGAAAGAAAGGGAGGGGGAGAGGGAAAGGGACAAACATGGAAAAGGAGAGAGAGAGAGAGAGAGAGAGAGAGAGAGAGAAGAGAGAGAGAGAGAGAGAGAGAGAGAAACAGAGGGGAAAGAAGGGGAGAGAGGGAGAGAGAGAGAAACAGAGGGGAAAGAAGGGGAGAGAGGGAGAGAGACAGGAGAAAAAGAGGAAGAAAGGAGAGAGAGAAAGAGGGAGAAAGAAAGAAGAGAGGAGAGAAAAAGAGAGGGGGAGAAAGATGGAGAAAAAGAAAGGAAGAGAAAAGGGAAGAGAAAGAGAGAAAGAGGAGAGGGAGAAACAAAAAAGGAAGAAGACAGGGATAAACAGAGAAAAAGAGAGGCTAAAAAAGAGAGAAAGAAAGAAAAGGAAGGAAAGAATGAGAGAGGACAGAGAAAAACAGAGAAAAGAAGGAAGGCAGAAAGGAAGGAGGAAAACAAGGTGAAGAGGGTGGGAAAAAAACAAACAGAAAAAATAGGAAGAAAGGAGAGCAAATAGAAAAGAGAGAAAGAAAAAAAAAGAAAAAGAAGTTTTGTCTACTACCCTTAATCCAGACAATTCCTACCCCACTCTCACCACCCCCCACTGAGGTCAAAGCCCACTGTTGCTCTGAAGGCTGAAATTAATTTGTGCTCATTCAGGCCAAGGTCACTGCTCGAGGTGAACTTGACCAAGAGCCTCCAGGGGGCGGTGTAGGGTCACTTTCAAAGCCGGCTTTTTTCCAGACCTCACTTCTTCTTAGGGACCCTGCAGAAGGAGGGTCCTATAGTCCAAGGGCCCCCAGACTTTGAGTCAGGCTGTAAAGGGATCAAAAGAGGAACTTCAGGGCTTTTGGAAGTGCTGCAGCTACTGGAGGGACTTAAATTGGACCTAAAAAAGGACTTCCTGACCGCAATGATTGCAAGACACTGGAAGCAGGGCTGGGGGATGGGGAGGCCAGGGAGCTCATTTTCCCTCTCCTTTAGTGTTTTTAAACACAGAAGCAATTCTCATCCTTCTGGAATTTCACAGGGTCCTGCCCAAGGCTGGGAAGCCCCAGATCCCGTCTCCAGATCTCTTCCTGTTCTGGGATTCTCTGGGATGTGTTTTTCTCATAAAATTTAGAACTAGAAAGCACCTGTCAGATAACATAAGCCCAACACCACACCCCCTTCCCCAACCATGTTAGAGAGGAGGAAACTGACGCTTAGAGACCATAAGGGAATGTATGCAGGTGATGAATTAATGTCTACATCTGTAAAAGAGAGAGTTTTATTTTTTTTCTTATGAAAATTATTGAATTACTTTTTCTACAGATGTGTCCACTCCTATCCTATGCCCATTTCTGTTGTTTGGGCTGGAATTTGACCTGTCAGATGGCCAGGTGGAGAGAGGGAGGAAGGGAGGGAGGGAGAGGGAGAGAGAGAGAGAGAGAGAGAGAGAGAGAGAGAGAGAGAGAGAGAGAGAGAGAGAGAGAGAGAGAGAGAGAGAGAGAGAGAGAGAATTTTTATTGGGAGTCAGAGTCCAGTGGTCAGGTAGAGAAAGAGGAAAAGTGGTTCAAGTTGGGGAGGGAGGGGGAAATTGGGGGAGAAGAGGCCGGAGGGGGAAGGGAGTTGCTGACAGGAACGGAGAAGAACTGAGGCTAAAAATAGACTTCCCTTCCTGTGTACTCTGAAAAGTCCCAGGGGTGGCCCAGCGGGTGTAGGGCCCCAACTAATAATAAATACTTCAGCAACAAGGTCCACATTTTTTCTCATGAGAAAAGGGCTGAGTTTTCCCTCTACCAGAGATTTGGTGGATTGGGAAAGGCAGGGCCCAACAGCCAGCTTTGAGTCTGTGGTGGTGACATTCCTCCAGAGTGAGCAGCGTTGACTCCTCTGGAGGGGTGGGACCTGTACTTTTCAGGGACAGAGCAAGAGAAACAGCAGTGATGGCAGAGACCCTGACCTTGTTTAACATCCTGACATCCTGGGAAAGTCCCCAGGTGGTTGGAAGGAAATTCAACCCCCTGCTCTCTACCTTTGTCTAAGAAAAAAATCCAAACATAACATTTTGTTGCCTGTGTGACTTTGAACAAGTAATTTCACTTCCCTGGCCCTCAGTTTTCTCCAGTCGTAAAATGGAGATTGGACCAGATGGCTTCTGAGGCCCCCTCTAGTTCTAAGTGGCCATCTATGACTTTGTGGGTCTTACCATGAGGACTGAGGGCGGTCATGGGGAGGGCCAGGACATGTCGTAAACCCTCCAGCCATTCCTTTTGTTCCTTCTCGTTGGGACAGGCAAAGACAAATCTTCGTTCTGGGGTGATGACGGTGATGCCAGCTTTCCATCGGTTCCCCCGGATGCCCTTCGGGAGTTCATCTTGAATCTCGTACCCAAGCTCCTTGCTCCCGATGAAAACCTGACCCTGCTCAAATGCATCCTGGAAGGAGAACAGCAGGTGGGGAGGTGATCGATACGGGGGCAACCTTTGCCCCGTGTAGCTGTGTCCCCATGGGAGGACTCTCCCTTAGAGCTCATCTTCTTCCTCTTTTCCCAATGGATTTAAGGGTCTTCCAGATATTTTTTTGCTGGGGGCCCCAGAATGTGATCAAGCAGCGGTGCAACTTGAAGCCATCACTTGGGTGGGACAAGTGAGACTTTTTGTTTTTGTTTTCTTCCCAGGGGACCAAAATTTAGAAAGCATAGACCTCAGGCACCTTTATTCAGATAGGAACTACCAATCTTAGTATCTTATTAACATAAATAATTAGTCCTAGAGACCACATCCCTCCCTGCTGGACTCCCCAGTAAAAACCTCACAGTGTCCTAGACTACGTGTCTCCCTCTTACAGAATGGTGTCAGGCATCTCTCCCACCATAACGTCTTATATCCCAAGGTCCAAGGTCTCTATTCCTAGTCCTCCTTATCCTCCTCAACTGAATTTGGGTTTGCCCCAGGATATAAGAATTGCTAGTTTCTCTGTTTCTGGGTAAGGTGAAGATTTGGAAAATGAATCATTTACATCCAGGACTAGGGTTCCTAACCTGGAGTACCAGAAGCTTGTCAAGGGAGTATAGGGACTATCCTAAAATTAGGAGTATTAGTGGCCAGGGGTAGGGGAGGGGGTGAATTGTAGATTAGAGGGAGAACAACTGGATGATACCATAAAATGTTATGTACAGAATGAAGGGTTTTTTTAGGAAAAATTAATATTTTTATTTGCATATACATGGGAAAATATGGAATTTATTTCTTTTCATATTGAATGGCAGAACAAGAAGGTTTGCTGAAAGCCAAAGGGTCTGGAGACTGAAAAAAGTTGAGAATCCTTGAACCAGAGAAACAATTCGTTCCAGAGGTTACGACAAAAAAGAAGTAGGCTCATTGACCTGTAGCAGGAAGGATTTAGGTTAGATATAGAGGAGGAAAGACATATCTAACCCTAGAATGAAAAACCAAGGATGGGGCTATCCATCGGTCTTAGATAATTTGGAAGCACTTCTACCCAGAAACAGAAGGCTGAATGAGATAACTCCCTAACATGCGTTTTCATGTTCATTAGTAAACTGGCATTCCCTATGGAAATTGCAGTTATTGTCCACACTAGACTCCACACTTCCCTTTGGGGGCTGGGGCTCCCTTTGAGTCAACACAACTGTCCCTTACCAAGGGGTTCTTGTAATACAGCAGCCTCCTCTCCTGAGGGTCAAGAGCAAACCACCGTTTCTTAAATGCTTCTCTCTGCTATGAGACAGAGACAGATATATCGTCAAAGAGAGACAGAGACAGATAAACAACAAGAGAAAGGGAGACACAGAGGGAGACAATGAACCTCTTTGTCACGGAGGATGGGGTGATGGGCACCTCCCAAGGCTAGAAGTCAGAAACCAGACATGAACTGAGCCTGTGCAGAATGCCAGTCTCCCAAACAGGCTAGGGACTTCCCTAGAACGTCAATGGGAAGAGTATTCAGGGAACTGGAACGTTGATGTTTCTTTTCCCCCTCCAAACACCTCCCAGGAAAGATCAAACCATATAGATTATTCCTCTTCACTTCTGGAAGAACTACAGGATCATAAATTTAGACCTGGAAGGGACCTTATAGGACAGAGTCTAGCTCCTCATTTTTACAGATGAGGAAAATGAGGCACTGAGAGGGAAAGTGACTTGCCCCAAGTCAATAGGTTATAAGGCAAGAGATGGGATTTGAACTCGGGTCTCTGACTGCAACTCCATTGGTTTTTCCACTATACTCATTCTAGAACCCCTCTCTCCAATTAATTAACAAGCATTTGTTAAATGCCTACTATGCGCCAGGCACTAGGCTAAGGATGGAGCAGTCCCTACTATTAAGAACTCTCCTTGGACTCATGATGGTAGAAAGTAAGTTGGGAAGAAATCAGCCCTTCCTCCTAGAAGTTTTCCCATATTCACTCCCTGGTTCCCTCACATGGCCTTGCTCTTTTACTCTCCTGAGATAGCAAAAGGCCATTCATTTGGGGGAGGCAATATTAAAAAAGGGATGTGTAGAGAACCCTAAGTTGATCAGAGTCATGCCCACCATTCTTTTCTATCCCTGTTTTTCCCACAGGTAGGTGACCCTACAGCTCCCTCAGTCACGTCCCCTCCCTGATGAGTCTCCTCAGGCTCTGAAAATGTAGGCTGTTTGACCAAAAAGGAAAATGACAAATGCTGGAGGAACTATGGGAAAATGGGTACCTTAATTCATTATTGGGAGAGCTAGAAACTGGTCCAGTCTTCCTGGAAACTAATTTGAAAATGTGCCAAAAAAAGCTATTAAACTGTACATATCCTTCGACCCAGTGATATTCCTACGAGGTCTAAACCCCAAAGAGATCAAAGAGAGAGGAAAAGAACTCAGCTGTACAAAAATATTTATAGCAACTATTTTCGTATTGGCAAAGAACTGGAAACTGGAGAGCATATCTCCATCAATTGGGAGATGACTGAACAAGTTGTGGTACATGAATGTTATGGAGTACTATTGTTGTTGTCGTCCAGTCATTTCAGTTCTGTCTGACTCTTTGTGACCCCATTTGGGGTTTTCTCGGCAAGGATACTGGAGGGGTTGGCCATTTCCTTCTCCAGCTCATTTTACAGATGAGGAAACTGAAGCAAACAGAATTAAGTAATTTGCCCAGGGTCACACAGGTAGTAAGTGTCTGAGGCTGGATTTGAACTCAGGTCTTCCTGACTCCAGGCCTGATGCTCTATCCTAGATGTAAGAAATGATGACAGGGATGGTTTTAGAGAAACCTAGGAAGAGTTGTGTGAGCTGATGCAGAGTGAGATGAGCCAAGCCAAGAGAACAATTTTTACTACAAGACAAATGAATTTGAAAGACTTAGCAACTCTTATTAACACAATGACCAACCATGACTCCAGACGACTCACGACGAATCACTCACCTCCTAATACAGAGGTGATAAACTCAGTGCAAATATATATGGGCAAATTTGTTTTGCTTAACTATACATTTTTGAAACAAGGATTTTGTTTTTCCTTCTTTCTCAATGTGGGCGGCTGGGGGGGAGAGAGAGAAAGCCGATTTTTGTGGATAGAAAATTTTTAAAAAAGAATATGTAGCCACCACCACACACCCACCTCTGCCATCCTCTCCTAGAGAGAAAAGCACCTCTTTCTCTCTCTTTCTGAACTGTGGTCTAGAAGCCAGTAGGTAACCTTTTCATCAGGAAACAGACATTTCCCTTTCTCAGGCTGTGGGCAAGATGTCTCAGAAAAGGGAAGCCCAAAAAACCAGACAAGTCAACTGTTCAGGAGGACAAAAATCTAGTCCTTAAATGGAGCTCAGCCCCAGCCCCAAATCATTCTAGCATGCAGGCTGTGAGATGATGCAGTGCCTCTGAGTCACTGGGGACAGTCAAAAAAGGAGTCTGAGGAGCCTGGTTTTTTCTCTTTGTGCCCCTCTGTAAACCAGATACAGGGTCCCCAGACACAGAGGAAAGAAGAGCTGTGTGTAAGTCTGTACACACGTACGTGTACATGTGGGTCTTTATATGTAGCATGTGTGTATTTGGGCAGTGTGACAGAGTGGACTGGAAGTGAGAAAGACCTGCTTTCATGTCCTGACTCTTACTAGCTCTGTGACCCTAGGGAAATCCCTTGATCTCAATGAGCCTCTTCCACGTCCTTCTCTATAAAGTGGGAATAGCAGCATCAGCTTCACTGGGAGGTCATGAAGATCAAATGAGATAATGTATTGTACAGTGCGACACAAACCTCAAAGGGCTATAGAAGTGTGAGTTATTATTATTGTTTGTGGGCTATTTTCTTGACTTTGAAGTTAACTTAAATCTGAATACATTGGACTTGCTGTTTTTAGCTGCTTGGAGATAAATCAGTCTAATCTAACAGTAGAATGGGATAGGGGCTACGTTCTTTCTCTACTTCTGCATGAGCGGTGCTCCTTGAAAATCATCTTCTATTTATTTTGCATATAGTAATATATGTGCACGTTGCTTCCCCAATATTGCATGTAAGCTGCTGGAGGGCAGGGAGAATTTCATCTCGATCTTTGTATCTCATAGTATCTGGCTCATAATAGGTCTTAATAAATATTTATTGACTGATTGAGCTCACTGACAAGAGATTTTATTGTTTGCCCATGATTGCCCAGATATAGGGGTTGAGAGGAAGGACGGCAGTTAGGTGGTAAGGTAGTTAGAGTGCTCAACCTGGAGTTAGGAAGCCCTGAGTTCAAATCTGACCTCAGACACTAGTTGTATAAACCCTGAGCAAATCATTTAACCTCTGCCTGCCTCAGTTTCCCCATCTGTAAAATGGGATAATAATGGCCCCTGTCTTCAAGTTGTTGTCAGGATAAAATAATAATTCAATGTTTTGTAATCCTTAAAGGACTGTATAAATGCTAGATGTTAATAATTAGACTGAGGTTAAGGGACATTGTCTGACTTTTCACTTTGACTTGGAGAGTTCAGATAACACTGGTTTTTTTTTGGGGGGGAGGGGTGTCTTCACCAGGGTTCTTCATCTAACAGACCCAGGACAAACTGATTTTAAAAGGTGCCTCCCTCCTACCTCCCCCAACCACTTCCCAAGCCTCTCTCCCCAACAATACTAGATCTCCTGGTCCTCCCCACCCAAGAGCGTACCTTTGGGCCAGTCTTTTCCATGTAGCCTTGTTTGAGGTAATTCCTGGTGATGTGAGGCAGGAGCTAGGATGGAAAGAGAGGCAAACACTGATTTCCTGCCCCATCCATCATGGCCCACTCCAGTTTGAAGCCCAGCCACCACAATATGTTATCAAGCTTGCATTTGCACTCATAACCAAAGGGAAGTCTAGCATGGGGAAGAAGGTATGTTTGTTGTCCACGGGATTATATTTGGAGCATGAGGGATTGTAGTATTACTACTGAAACAGGATCACTGTTAGGAAGCATGGCTACCTTTCCAGCTCCTTATAGAAGAGCTCTCTGTCTTCTCTGTCTGGGAAAGTTGTAAGGGTAAAGGGCCACGTCCAAAGCGTCTTACTGACTCTTTTCAGCCCTATCTACCAACCTTTGTGAGAGATGCTGGGAAAGTCTGTTGAAAAGTACAAGCAGCTAGATGGCGCAGTGGATAGAGCACCGGCCCTGAAATCAGGAGAATCTGAGTTCAAATCCAGCCTCAGACCAAACACTTGACACTTACTAGCTGTGTGACCCTGGGCAAGTCATTTAACCCCAAATGCCTAAGGGGAGGAGAAAAAAAAAAAGAAAAAGAAAAGTAGAAGCTATCTCACACTCATGGCATAGGATTACTCCTATGCCCCACTCTTTCAATGTATTTTCAATTTCTCCCTTACTGGCTCCTTCCCCACTGCCTACAACCATGGCTATGTCTCTCCCATTCTCAAAAAAGTCTCACTTGACCCCATATCTCTTCTGCCCTCTGTAGCTAAACTCCTCAAAAAGGCTATCAACAGGGGCAGCTAGGTGGCGCAGTGGATAGAGCACCGGCCCTGAAATCAGGAGGACCTGAGTTCAAATCCAGCCTCAGACTGAACACTTGACACTTACTAGTTGTGTGACCCTGGGCAAGTCGCTTAACCCCAATTGCCTACAGGAAAAAAGAAAGAAAGAAAAAAGACTATCAACAACAGAAGTCTGCACTCCTTTTCCTCTTACTTTCTTCTTAACACCTTACAGTTTGGCTTCTGACCTTATCCTTACACCAAAACTGCTCTCTCCAAAGATACCAATGATCTCTTAGTGGCCAAATCCAATCATCTTTCTCAGAGGCAAACAGGTCTACTGCTCTCATTTTATAGATGAAAAAACTGAGGTTTATAGAAGTTATATGACTTACCCAGGGTCATACAACCAGTAAGTGTTAAAGGCAAGATTTGTACCACTGTCTTCCTGTGTCCTTGTGTCTTCACTCCATCCACAACACCACCACCAGCTTTCCCTCAGGCTGACACACTCTTCAAACAACAGTTTACCACCTGAGACTATAGGAAAGATCTAGGCAAATTCTTGAGTCTCATGATCCCCCTCCAAACTTCAGAGACTACACAAAGAGTAAGGGAGAGAGGAAAAGAGTTTATGGTCCTGAGCTCACGTGCATGGTCTGGCCGCAGAGGGAGAGAACAAGGAGGAGCCAGGGAACGGGAGAGCTCAGAGGAGCTGCCTCTGCAGAGCAGAAGTGAAGTTCTGAGATGGGGAACACTGAGAACTGAAAACAGATTTGCCACCTAAGACTCAACAATGAACAGCGAAGGTCAAACAATAGTAGGTGGTCAGTGGAGGGAAATTGATCAAGGAGATGAGTAAGGTTGATAGTATCATGCCTGACATCATGAATGGAGCTATGGAGAAGAAAGCAAGTCCAAGGAATGATGCAAAGGCCCTGCATCACGACTGAAAGAGCAGTTCATTTAAAAGGTGGGTGTCCATGGGTGAGGAACACGGCATATGACCTCTGGTTTTTTTTTTTTTGGAAGGAAGGAGGATGTATTGATTGGTTTTACTAATATTTTTCTCTTCCTCTTTTTTAAAACAAATTTTGTTTTAAGGGATAGCTCTCTGGGAGGAAGCAGAGACAGGAGGAAATGTAGGTGATATTAAAACAAAACATATCAATAAAATATTTTAAATAACTACATTATATAGCCCTTTAAGGTTTGTAAAGCACTGTAATATGTTTTCTCATGTTTAAAAAATAAACAGCATTAAGTTTTGAGTCCCAGAGGACTGAAATCCTGGCTAGGCTGTTCATTGTGACCTTGGGCAAGGCATTTGATACCTCTTGGGATCTCAGTTTCCAAATGAGAGGGCTGAACAAAGTGATTTCTCAGGTGCCTTCTGGTACTAAATCTGTAATCAAATGGACATGGTTTGTTGAAAAGATCATTAGCCCTAGAGAGTCAAAGGTGTGAATTCAAGTCCTTGTTGTGGTACAATCTAACAGTGTAACTTCCTGCCGGTCGCTTAACCCCTCTGTAGTTCAGTTTCAGTTTCTAAAAATGAGAGAACTGGGCTAAATAATGTAGAAGTGATCTAATGCTTCATCATTCTAAATCAGGCTCAGATAATTATTTGGGATTACAGGCCCCAAGGATAGGAAAAGCCTGGAAGGGAGAGGAGGAGAGGAGGGCTGGGGTAGGGAGGGGAAGGAAGATAAAGGATTAAGATGGTTGAGGGAAAGGATGGGAATGAGAATGCTGACCAGTGACTAACTTCCTGCTGTTGGGTCAGCAACATTTTGAAAGGCACTTCAGGTCAAATGAGGCTGAGCATTTGTACTTTGTCCCATTTGTTGCTGCTGAGTCGTTTTCAGGCATGTCCAGCTCTTTGTGATCCCATTGGGGATTTTCTTGGCAGGGGGACTGGAGTGGTTTGTCATTTTCTTCCGCAGCTCATTTTACAGATGAGGAACTGAAGCAAACAGGGTGAAGTGACCGGCCCAGGGTCACCCAGCTAGGAAGTATCTGAGGCTAGATTTGAACTCAAGAAGATGAGTCTTCCTCACTCCAAGCCTGGAGCTCTGTACACTTTCGCACTCCCTACCTGCCCCACTTTGTCCTACTATGGTCTTTCAAAGAGATCCCACTGGCCTGAAACCCACAGAAAACCCTGCAAGAGGGGAGTGTGGCCTCCCAGGCCCAAGGCCCAACAAGGGACACCCCTTTCGTTGCATCAGTTCAGAAGCCCTCCTGTCCCCACCTGTAATCCCCATAGAGAACACTTCCATTTTAACCACTCCAAAGAAATACTTTTCAAAGCCCCAGTTCCAGCATTTAGCACCGCCCCTTCCACTTTTTCCCTCCCTCTCCCCACCCCCTTCGTCCAAACCCTCAGTCTGGCTCGCACTTCCTGTTTCTGACCCCATCTCAGTCTGCGTCCCAGTCAACTCCTTCCTTAAAAAGACAGCTAGACGCCAGGCAACTGAAGATAGAGGAGTCAGATCTGTCTTGCTCCCTTCCTGTTTCAGTTATAATGGAGACAATCCAGCCTGCCTACCTGAGCACATGGTTGTTATTGTTTGTCCTTCGTTCTGGAAGAGGACCATGACACCAGGAAGGTGATGCCATGACTTGCATGCTACCCGAGTGGGACAGCAAGAGGCAAAGGCCCATCCATCCCACTACAATGGAAACTCCCAGAGGTCAGGGGCATACCCAGCACCTACCATGGTACCTGGCGTGCAGTAGGCACACATGCTTATTGAACTGAATGGATGGCCTTGGGTTCCAACTCTAGCCCTACACAGATTTCCAGTTAGAAGGGACTTTAGAGGCCAATCAGTCTTACCTTTCATAAAGGCCACACTAAAGTCCCGAGGTGGGGAAAGTGACCTGCCCCTGGCCACATAAGCAATACGATCTACTTCTCACTCCAAATGAAGCATTCATTCCGTAACACCACCCTGTATAACTGCTGAGACTTAATTTCTTATTCTGTGAAATGGGGAGAATGATACCCGTCCTACCATTCTCATAGGGTTATTTTGAGGATTAAATGTACAAGTGACTGAAAGCTGCATGGGATAAAGGAATGATAACCCGCTGTTAAATCAATCTCCCTAAAGCACACTTTTCATGATATCATTCTCCTATTCAAAAGCTATCAATGGTTCCCCATTGCCTACTGAATCAAGGCCAAACCCTTTAGCTCGGCATTCAGGGCCCTCTGTGATCTAGCACCAACTTCCTTTCCCAGTCTTTTCTCTCTGTATTCCCCTTTATCACATCTCCATCTCTCCCAGACAGCATGCTACGAAACGGGGATAAGTCAGCAACCCTGAAACACATCCTCTGTTTTATGACCTCTTCCATGACGTCTTCTTTGATTTCTCAGCCTTAAGTAACCTTTACCTACTCAGAAATCCCATACTGTGTTGTTTGCCTTTAGCATCAGAGACAGTGTCTATAGCACAGTGAACAGAAAGCTGGCCTCAGAGTCAAGAAGACCTGCTTCAAGTCTTGCCTCTGAAAAATACTTGCTGTGCGATCCTCGACAAGTCATTTAACATCTCAATCACCCAGGGGACTCTAAGACTCCAAGTGCCACCCTCTACTGGTAGAGGGAATGTCTCATCCAGAGGGTCCCCACACCGGTCAGAGTTCTAATCCAAATGCATTTTTACACTATGTTTTGTCCCATTACTCATTTGTCTAAGAGGGGCATTTTGGACATGGTAAGACCTGTACGAACTGATACAAAGTCACATGAGAAGAACCTGGAGATCATTGTGCACAGTAAAGGCAATGTCATAATAATGATCCATTGTGAAAGACTTGACTACTCTGATCAATGCAATGACCCAAGATAATTCCAAAGGACTCATGATGACAAATGCTACCCACCTCCAGAGAGAGAACTGATGAACTGAGAGCAAACTGAAGTATAATTTTCTCATTTTTTTCTTGCTTTTTAAAAAAAATGGCAAATATAGAAATATGTTTTTACATGTATAACTGATATATTGTTTGCCATCTCAGTGGATGGGAGAAGGAGTGGGAGGGAAGGAAAGAAATTTGGAACTCAAAATTCAAAAAGAAAGTAATTTTTAAAATAAATAATTAATCAAAAATATTTTTGGGGGACATTTTGGTATGAAAGGCAAAATAGCAGGGTATGGTAGCAAATGTTTAACAACCAGCTGGGGGCAGGCAAGGGGAGAAATGTAAACACAACAGATTTAAGTTTTGTTATTTCACCTTTTTCCCATCACTTTCTTAAGTCTAGACAATCAACAAAACAAGAAACCTTGATCTATAGCATTTACCAATTTCCAAGATGTCAATGTTCACACTGAACAATTTAACAATCAGGTTCTCTCTGGTTTGAGCTGGCTCTAGCATATCCCTACAGCAAGGTATAATGGAGAAAGAGCTGACCTCGAAGCGGAGCAGATCTGGGTTCGAGTCCTACCTTCGACACGTCCTGGTGGTGTGACCTTCAGTACTCTAAGCAACTAGTAGAGGGAGTTTCCTAGCTGGGAATTCCCTATATTAGTGAAATCCCAGTTCCAGTCCCATCTTGATATAATGAAGGAAACACTGGGCTGGGGAGTCAGAAGACCCAGGTTTGAATCTGGTTTCTATCACTTACTAGCTTTGTGACCATGGGAAAGGACCCCCCCAAGCTTCAGTTTTCTCATCGGTAAAATGGGAATGATAACATTCACACCAACTATCTCATAATGTGACTGAGAGGAAAGTGGTTTGTAAATCTTAAAATTCTTAAGGGTGTGAGCTATTGTTATCATCATCATCATCCTGGTTGCAGAGGTGTACCCAAGTGAGGCTGCGTCTTATGCTGATAAAAATTTGTTAGCCTTGGTTGGAAAAGAAGTTGCTGTGGCCCTAGGAAACCACCGCAAGACTTGTAACCTCCAGCCTCCCAGGAGATGGGTCATAGAATCGTAGGATCCTACGTGTAGCGTTGCAGACCTCAGTGGCTATCTAGTCTAATCTCATTTTACAGATGAGGACACTGAGACCCAAAGTGGTTAAATGACTTGCCCAAGTTTCAGGGGCAGGTCTTTGGCTCCCTTTCGAGCCTACCATTCAACAAGTCTTTGGGTCTCCTGGCATTCAACCAGCAGTCTCAGTCTAAAAGTAAAAGGGGATCCTTTCAACCCTGTGACTCCCAATCCAGCCTTAGGACCAGGGTGTTCCGGAAGTCCAGAGAACAGGAATTTCTTCCCTCTTCCCTTTGCACAGAAGACTAGGTGCAAACACGTCTCTGCTCCGAAGGATTGAGACTCATGAGAAAACTAAAGATTACAGCACGTGGGGAGAGCAGGAGTATGGAAGAGTCCATTGAAATTAGGACCCTCGTGTAGCTCACCTCAGACTCTGGGAGCTCAGGAAAAGCTGTTTTCAGGTAGTGTAGACGGGCCGCTCGGAGGGCATTGAACCAGTCCACTATCTCCTACAGAAATACATGAAAATAGGGTCAAGGCAGTTAGTGAAGTGGAGAGGCAGGCTCCCTACATTTGGGGAGAGAAGATTAGATAGGTTTCCTGGCTGATAAAGAGTATCAGTCATGTGCTCCCTACTCAGCCACGCAACACTCAGCTCCTTTCCCCCTGCCTAAACATGCTTAGGTTTCTCTTATTCTATAAAATCTTGTCTCCTACTCAAGGCATTGTTCCAGATCTTATCCCTGCTTCATCACCAAACTCTAAGAAAAAGTCCTCTACATTTGCATTCTCCAAATATTTTTCATCATCTCTTCCTATCAGTAAAAAAGAATATATTGTGTATGTATTACTCATTTATAAATTATGTATATTTATAAATTTATGCATATAAACTGTTGTACTAGTCATTTTAAAACTTAAACAGAAATAGAAATTATAAAAGGTTGAGACAAAGAGCAAATTATATTGGATCCTAGAGTCAATAGGGAGCCACTGGAGTTTATTGAGGAGGGGAGGGACAGGGAAAAACATGCACTTGAGGAAAATCACCTTGGTAGCTGTGTGGAGGGTAGGTTGAGGCAGGGATCCCAATTATGAGTCTGAGGAGAGGGGATGAGGACGAGGGTGGTAGCTATGTGAGAGGAGATAGATGTAATATATCGCATCCATTAACAAGTAGAGTTAAGTCTTGGCGACTGATTGGTATGTTTCATAAAGGAGAGTAAGGAATAAAGACGGTTCCAAAGTTATAAACCCAGGTGTTTAGAAGGATAGTAGTGCTCTTAATAGAAACAGAAACATAATGGAAAGAGACAAGGGATCAGAGGGAAAGAGAATGAGTTTTGCATTGGACATGCTGAGTTCGAGATGCCGGAGTGGGGAATGTCCACTGGGTAGCTGGTGACACAAGACTGGAGCTCAGGAAAAAGCCCAAGGCTGGATAGAGATCTGGGAGTCAGGTCATCTACACAGAGATGATAATGGGACCGTGGGAGTTGATGAGATCACTCTGTGAGAGGATGTAGTGGTAGAAAAAAAGAGGGGGCTCTAAGACAGAAGCTCAGGGCATGCACGGTATACCCATAGTTAGGGGATGAGATGTGATGTTTTGACAATGATCCAGCAAAGGAAATGGAGAAGCAGCCAGATAGGTAGCAAGACAAGTGTCATGGGGAATCATGGATCGAGTTCAAATTCTGATTCTGCTACTTACTACTCCAAAACCTTGGACAAGTCATTTAATTTGATTAGGCTTCGGTTTCATTATCTGTAAAATGAGGAGATTAGACTAGATCACAGGTGCCAAATGGCCCCACCCAGCCCAAAATGCTCTGGAATATGATCAGAACCAGATTAAAATGTAATGGGGAAATAGTTAATGAAATTTAAAAAATAGATAATGTTAATATGTGGTTTTCTAAGTCAATATGTGACCTCAAGGACTCTAGTGTCTGGTTTCATGGCCTCCCATTCTTTCTATTTGAGTTTGACACCACTGGACTAGCTGACCCTGAGGTCTCTTCCAGTGCTCACTCCATGGTCCCATCTACCTTAATTCTTCCCTCTCTATTATCCAAGAGGTTGCTAAATCACAATTCTGCTTTCACACTCTCTTATATCTGTCTCCTCTCTATTCACACAGACACCACCTCGGGTAAGGCTCTCACCATCATTCTTTTTTGTCTTCTTCAGTGGTCTCCAAATCCTCCCAATCCACCCTTCACATTTATTTACCAGACTGTCTTCCTGAAGCACAGAGCTGCTCAGAACCCTTCAGCGGATCCCTGTCGACTCAAGGATGACATCTGAACTTCTCCCCTGGGTGTTCAAGGCTCTCTACAATCTATCTTTCCAGCCTTATTTCACATTATTCCCTCATATCTACTGGCCATTCTACCTAAACTGTTGTATGCCTCTGCTCTGCTGCTTCTGTGCACTTCTAAAGGTCCTTCCCTACATCTAGAATTCACATCTTTCTTGTCTCTATTTGTTGACATCCTCCCCTCTTTGAAGCTCAATCACCTTCTTCATAAAATCTTCCTCCATCCCAGGTGAAAGTGTCTCTCCTGCCTGAAATTGCCTTAGAGCACTCTGGGTCCCTCCTTTGCTGCTATCACATTTCACCTTGGATTATGCTTCTTTGCCCATATCCTCTTCCTTCATCTTTATACTCCCAGCATCTAGCACAGGGTCTGCCTCACAGTAGATACTTAATAAATGCCTGTTATTTTCGACCAAATTAAAACATCAGAACATCTCATGAGCCTATTTAAAGTACAGTTGAGGGGCAGTTAGGTGGAGCAGTGGATAGAGCACTGGCCCTGAAGTCAGGAAGACCTGAGTTCAAATCTGGCCTCAGACCAAACGTTTGACACTTACTAGCTGTGTGACCTTGGGCAAGTCATTTAACCCCAATTGCCTAAAAATAAAAAAATAAAATAAAATAAAGTACAGTTGACTTGCATGGCCAGTGTGGCCTTAAAAAGAAAAAAAAAGAGGATTATTGAGATATCTCCTTAAAAAAACACAGGGAACGAAAGGCTGGAAAGAAGCACAGACAAGCAGGACAGCTTTGAAAGCTACAGGTTGACCTAATAATATATTTAAAAAGAAAAGAAAGCTGCATGCAATGGAGACCTTCAGCTTTATGTATAATAATCTTTTTTTTCGTTCTATATATGAGTATTTCCAGGATGGGGGCGGGGAGGATTTATTAAATTCAAAATAAAAATAGGTTTAAAAAAAAAAAAGACTGGCCTTGATCACGGGACTATTGGCATCCATGCCAATCTTTCACAGTATACGATGTGACAGCCAAAATGTTACTGATACCTCAAAAATGCTTTCCATTTCATCTGTATACATATTATATACACATTGTTGTTTGCATATTATCTACACCACTAGAAGGTAACTTCTTTGAGGGTAGGGACCGTGTTTTTCCCTTTCTTTCCCTAGGTTTACAAGGTGTCTGGCACTTAAGAAGTGATTGGTGAATACTTATTGACTGAGACATAAAGACAAGGTACTTGGAAGGTGCAGAGCTAGAGTACCTATTGGAGACCCATCTCGTTCAGGCTGTTATTTGGGATGAGGCTAGGCTTGGTGGCCATTGTCAGAACTGTTCCAATCACACTGTGAGAAACGAGGGGTGCACGGAAAGAGCCTTGGATTTGGCGCCAGAAGACTTTAGCTTCTAATCTTGGTCCTACCTACCACCTGTGTGGTACTGGAGAAGATATTTTACTCCCCTGGGCCTCAATTTGTCCCTCTGTAAAATCAGGGGTTCCATTAAATGACCTCGCAAGGCTCTTTGCAAATTTAACTTGGATTCTTTTTGTGATCTCTTGGGACAACGCCAACCAGCTCACCAAAGCCAATGGGTGAATTGTCCAGGGGAGCATTTACAACCCAGAGATTGCTGAACAGTACAAATCAGACCTTGATGTGTTTTTTCTTATTGTTGATTGTCAAGACTTAATAAAATGAAAAAAAACTTAATAAAATGATGGAGAAAGTGGTAATAATGAAGAGTAAACCGAAGTGTTTCCTGTGTACATTTTTTTTCCTGAAGAAGCAGCTGTTAAACATTTACCAACACACCATAAGGTAGATCCATACCTGTGATTGCATTAGCATAGGGAATTCCCAGTTTGGAAACTCCCTCTACCAGTGAAGATGCCATAGCCTTTTCTGGGACTTAATCTTGCTGCCTTCACCCTGAAAAGTTAAAGTGACTTGCCCAGGGTCATGAAGCTAGAATGTGTCAAAGGAAGGACATGCACTCAGGTCTTTCTGATTTCAAGGCCGGCCTCTCCACCACACCAAATGCCCCTCAATCTGTGTTCCTATGACAGGGACAGGACAGCCTCTGACATGTCAGGTGTTAAGATTCCTGGAGGGCCCCCTCCTCCTCTTTTTTTAGCTACGAATCAAGAAAGAATATCTGAATTCTATAGATTTCTGCCTTTCTCTGGAGGCCTTCACATATTGGCCAGCCCATGATGGGCCACACCAAGAAGCAGGTAACTTCTGCCCTACAACTAGTACTCATTCCCTGTTGCTGATAGTAATAAAAATAACACCAGCTAGCATTTATGTAACACTCTGAATTTTACAAAATGCTTTACAGAATTCTATTATTTGACCCTCCCAAGGTGAGGTAGATTGAACAAATATCCCCATTTTACAGATGATTAAAAGGAGGCTAGGAGAGATCAGGTGACTTATCTAAGGTCCCACAGATAGTAGCAGAGCCAAGATCTGAGTGGTTCAGTCTTGCCTGTTCAGAGCTGGTCCCTTGCTCAGCCTCTCTCTGCCAGGGGTGGGGAACCTAAGGCCTCAAGGCCACATGTGGCCTTCTAGGTCCTCGGGTGCGGCCTTTTGACTGAGTCCAAGTTTTACAGAACAAATCCTTTTATTAAGGGGATTTGTTTTGTGAAGTGTGGATTCAGTTAAAGGACCACATGTGGCTTTGAGGTCACAGGTCACCCGCCCATGCTAGACTCTTTGTTGCCTGGTCTCCCCAAACTACAGACCAGACTCTACCTCCACCTCTATGTTTGACCCTTTGCTCCCTTCCTGTCCCTCTATGCTCATGCTGATCTCCTGGACCTGTCAATCTGGACTGTTTCACTACATTTGGCACCAAGGTACCCACTGCTCTCCCCCGATTTCTCTGACTAGGCTTCTCATCCACCACCACTCTTGCACTGAACCCAAATCCTCCGCCCTCCATGGACTCCCCGCACACCCCCAGGACTCCCTCACACTAACTGATTTCCCCTTTGTGATCCATTGCTACCTAAAAAAACACCTGCCCCTGGGGTTGCCTGGTCTCTGGTCTGCCTTGTTTTGATGCCACCCCAGATTTAGTGGCTAGAGATTAGTCAAGGTAAATGCCTTTCATCTATGTAGGGAGACTGTCAAGACACAGAGGAGAGTGATTAAGAATAGAAATGACCCTGGGTCCGGCATCCTAAAAGAGAAGCCGGGGGCTCTGGGCTATTTACCTTCCCACTCTCATGATATACAAAGAGGTTCCTGGTATGGCCATCTCTCTTGTAGGTGATCTGTAGCCCATGGGGGTTTCCTATCTTCTCTGTCTGGAATGTGGCATTCAAGTCCTTTATGCTGATGATGGCTTTGGGTGTTTTTCCCTGAAAGAAAAACAATTACCTTGCAGGAACAATCCCTTTACTAGACTAGAAGCTGTTAGAGGCAGAGGCTCTTTATTATCCATATTTCCTATCTCCCTAATGCTCTGTATGCAGTAGGTGCTTAATAAGTGTTTATTGAATGAATAGACTCATGAATGAAAGGAGAAGTGACAGGCAGCATGGCAGCCTTATCCATCAAATGCCTCTCAGCTCCTAGTTCAACACAGATACTCGCCGTCTCACATATCCAACCCAGCCGCCCCAGCCGCTAGAGCTTTCCCTTGCAGGGTTAGGTCCTGTCTATTTTTCAGGTATCTTGCCTGTACCTGTCTTTATTCATGTCCTCACTCCCATGAGAATGTTCACTGCTGGAGGACAGGGTCTGATTTTGCCTTTGTATTTCCAGCACTTAGCACCGGGCCTGACACATAATAAGTGCTTACTGACTGACTCTCTGGCTCTGCTTGTTGAGCTCAGGGAGACACAGTCTAGGCATCAGGAGACCTTGGCTCCAGCTTTGGGTCTAACACTTCCTAACTGTGTGACCTTGGGCAAATGGCTCAACCTCTCTGAGTCAGTTTCTTCATTGGTGAGGTGGGATCTTGGGACCGTAGATTTAGAGTCAGAGGGACCTTGGAGATTGCCTAGTCCAGCTTCCTCCATTTAAAGATTTGCCATTTACATTGTCAGCTGGATGCGGACCACCCTTGCTCCCCAAGGTCCTTGCTCGCCATGTCCTGCTAGCTCATGTACTTCCTGGCCTTTTCATCTGCCATGAACTGAACATGAGAATGAGCTCTCCTCTATGTGTTATTGTTCAGCCATTTTTCAGTCATTTCCAACTCTTCAAGGCCCCATTTGGGGTTTTCTGGCAAAGATACTGGAGTGGATCACTATTTCCTTCTCCAGTTCATTTTACAGATGAGGAAACTGAGGCAAACAGGGTTAAGTGACTTACCAACGGTCACACAGCTAGTTAATATCCAAGGAGAGATTTGAACTCAGGTCTTCCTGACTCCATGACCAGTGCTCTATCCACTCTGCCACCTAACTGCTCCCCTTTATGTATGATCTCCTTTAATTAAAATGTGAGCTCTTTGAGAGCAGGGACTACCTCAATTGTCCATCCCTGCTGTAAAGACATGGTAAGAGCTTAAAAACTGCTTTTCATTCATTACTATTGTCTAAGAATACCCATGGTTCTAGGGTACAACTGGCTACAGTTGAGCCCTCCATTGGGATAATGGTTGACCCTATTGACCTAACCCAGGGGTTCTTAACCTGTGTGTGTGTGTGTGTGTGTGTGTGTGTGTGTGTGTGTGTGTACCATAGATCCCTTTGGCAATTCAGTGACGTCTATGCTTCCCTTCTCAAAATAACATTTTTCAAATGCACAAAGTATAATACATAGAATTACAGAAGAAATCAATTACACTGAAATGCAGTTATTGAAATATTTGGGGGGGGTTAGGCAATGGGGTTAAGTGACTTGCCCAGGGTCACACAGCTAGAAAGTGTCAAGTATATGAGGCTGAATTTGAACTCAGGTCCTCTTGACTAAAGGGCTGGTGCTCTATCCACTGTGCCACCTAGCTGTCCCCTGAAATATTATTTTTTAAAAAACAAGCTCATAACCCCCAGGTTCAGCACTCTATTCCAACGTATTAGACCCAGCAGTAACACTTACCTCTTCTTTAGTGTAGTATTTCAAAAAGCCTTCTGTTGCCGAAAGGACAAACTTCCTCTTCAGGTACTGCCCATTGTCCCTTCCCCGCTTCCACAGGAGCCCTTCTCGGTTGTCTGTGATCAACAAAGACGAGAAGCAGACCCATCAGGGCCTCTGGCCCCACCCCCAAATCCCCTCACCAAAGAAACCCTGGACTAATTTGGTTCCTTCAGTTCAACAAGACTGGAAGCTGCTCCCTGCCACCAAATGTTGTCCAGAAGAATATGGCAGACAGAGCATGGGACTTGGACTCGCGGCAGACCTGCATGAGAAAGTATGCAGAAAAAACACAGAACCTGTCATTTCATAACTATTTGTTGATGGATTAATTGACCCAAATTCAGCCTCTGACACTTAATATGTGTGTGACCACGGATGACCGAGTCATTCAACTCTCAGCCTCAGTTTCTTGATCTGTAAAATAAGGAGGATAATAATACCAGTAGTACCCCCCCCTCATGGAATTGTAATCAGGATCAGAAGAAATAATATCTATAAAGAGCTTTGTCAACCCCAAAGAGCCATTTAAATATCAGCTATCCTCCTTATTGTTATCCAAAGAATCCAAAGTGGGGATGATGCAATGGAAGACACATGAGAGGCTGACAGCACACACATGCCTAAAAGAGGGCATAAAGGACAATAACAAGGAGAGCAAGGATCATCATATGGACTGCCCAACAGACTACAGAACTCTCCATGAGATGGTCAAGGAGGTAGGAGGCCTTCAGCATGTTGGAGAGATCTTCTCTGGAGGAACGTGGAAATGTACTCACAAGATAAGGCAAACAGGATGAGAAGGCAAGGAGGTGTTCTGATCACCATCGGCACCAGTGAGAGCTGGGACAGATGCTGGGTGTCCCAAGCTATTAGGGACACCATACATCAGGAGTTCCGAGTTAAGGACCTCTGGCCTAAGTGAGAAAAGCCATTCCTGACCCCTTTCCTCAAGGATCCACCAAATCAGATGCCTTTTATTATCCACATATGAGTTATCTAATTTGTGAATTAGTTGTAGCAGCAGCTATAGCAGGAGCAGGAAGTTGGAAAAATAAACAAACCAATGTGTGTGTTTGTTTGCTTGTTTGTTTTAAAGAGGCCTCTGAGTCATCAGAGCCACCAGAGGGCTGGTCCCTTCCAGCTCTGAAGCTATGATTCTCTGTGTGGTTTAGGAAAGCAATTTTATTTTTCTGGGCCTCAGTTTCCACATCTGTAAAATTTGAGATCCCTTTCAGCTCTTGAGCTTTGATCCTACAAACAGAAAATCCCGGGCTGGCTATCCCAAAGTACCACATATAAGTTCATTTAATCCTGATTAACACATTCTATGGTCTAACCATTGTGACTTAATGGGACTAAGCTAAGGACTGGACCTATGATTTCATTAGTACAGGAAATGACCGAGTGAAGAAACTTGCTCTACCAATGCAAGTCAATATCTTCTCTGCAACATACTGTCTTAGCAAGTTGCCTTGGACAAGTCTTGGACAACAACTTGCTCAATGTCACATAGCCATTTTGAGTCAGGCAGGACTTGAACTCAGACCTTTCTGGGGACAACACCTCAAACACACCGTAGTTTATGGTTTCAGAGCCCTATAGAAGCTCGATTCATTTGATTTGATCCATCTTTGTGAGGTAGGTGACCTGGCATTATCTCCATCTTACAGATGACTAAACTGAGCCTTGGAGAGATTAAATATGCCCAAGTCTGTAGCAAATAAGCAGTAGAGTCAAAGCTTGGACCTACGCTGGCTTCGCTGTGTGGTCCACTGTGCTCTCTGGAATTAGTGTTTAGTAGTATCTGTGTTGGCACCAGATAACTGAGCGCTGACTACACTGATTTGGCAATCATGCTCAGTCAATCAACAAGCATTTATTAAGTGCCTACTGTGTGCCAGGCACTGTGCCAAGCAGGGGAAATACAAAGAAAAGCAAAAGCCAGTCCAAGCTCTCAAGGAGGTTACAGTCAAATGGAGAATACAACATGGAACAAACATGTCTAAACAGGCTCTATTCAGGATAAGCTGTAGACAAATAACAGAGGGAAAGCCATAGAATTAAGAAGGACTGGAAAAGGCTTCCTGTAGAAGAAGGTGGGATTCAGTTGCAAACAGCAATTATTTTATCTATTTGTGCAATAGACTGCTGTCCCAGAATTATGTCTATCTGAAATCCATCGGAAAAGACGAGAAGAACAGAAACCAGCAGTGTGTCCTCCTCCATCACAGTGGATGGAGAGCCAGCCTCAGAGGCAAGAAGACTGACCTCAGCCACAACCTGGCTATATGACTCTGGGTAAGCCTTTTACTCTTTCTGGGCCTCAGTTTCCCCATCTGTGAAATGGAGGCAATTGGATTCATTGGCCTCTATGTGATCCTGGGTAAGTCACTTAACTATTCAGTGCCCCACGAAGCTCTCTCATACAACAAATTATAGCGCAGATTCTGATTGCTATCGATGGTTATAAATTTTCTCATCCAGAATGTCCCTGCATGAGTGAAATCACAGGACCTCTATAAAATAAAGGAATTGGACTATGTCACCTTTAAGGATTCTTCTTGCCCTGAATCTATTATCTATACATAAAATATAACTGGGGAGCCAGCATCCCTCTGTTAAGATTCCATTCATGACACTGAAGTCATATTTTCTTGTGCCCGTAAAAACACAAACTTTAATGACAGAATCTGCCTTACCAGATATGGTCCAGGTGAGGCTGCCAGCCACAAACTCCTGTCTTTCATATTTGGCTCGGATCCATTGCTCCTTTAAGACCCTGAAGAGAAAAAGGCTGTGGTTAATTAGCTGGGTCTGCTGCATTCTTTTCCATGGGAAAATTAAGCTCTTGATGAAATTCCTATAACTGGATGGAAACCAGAGGTACAGCCTCATACTAGGCTGGTACTAGGCTCCCTCTTTCAAACATCCTCTGGTTGGTAAAGCAGGGACACTGACTCCCCTAAACTGTTTGAACCCTCAAATGGGCATTTGAATTTAGACAATTAAGCTTGCTGAATCCATGCTGACCCTACGGGCTCTGACAGAAGTCAAGTAGCATCTTCTTGACAATGTCACCTGTAACTTCTGGAAAAAGAATACACACACACACACACACACACACACACACACACACACACACACACACACATACACACACAGGATAAGCTCTCAGGATTAGAGCTCTCTTGGCAGGGAACCATCTGCCCTGACATTGCTCCCCCAGGTTCTCAGGACCTTGCCTTCTTCCCTGCTACTTTCCCTACCCAAGTATTTTCTGGCTTTGTCCTTCCATGAAGAGAACATGACTATGAGTCTTCTTGTATGTGCTTTGTCTCCTAATTAGAAAGTGAGCTCCTTGAACACAGGGACTGTCTCAATTTTTCATTTGTATGTTCATCACTTAGCATAGTGCTTGGAATATAGTGAGCACATAAAAAATGCTATTAATATCCCCGTTTTATTGATGAGGAAACTGAAGCAACAGAGGATAAATTACTTGCCCAGGGTCATATAGCTAGTGAGTGTCAGGCTGGATTTAAACTTAGGTCTTCCTGACTCCATATCCAGTTATCTATCCACTGCACCACCTGACCTCCCCTATATATCTGTATCTATCTATATCTATCTATCTATATCTATACCTATACCATTTATATCCATATCTATATCTATCATGTCACCATTTTCAAAGAGCTTTCACACCTTATTTGATACTTACAACATAAGGGAGGCATTTCTTCATCTGGAATGGATGGGAAAACATTTTTTAAGTGCTCACTACATTCCAAGCCCTGTGCTAAGTGAGGAACATAACAAATGAAAAATTATTGCAGAACTGCTGTCCTTAGAATGGGGAGACTGGCCTCTGGGACCCAATGTCTCACTCCTAGAACATTCCAAACTCTTTTGCTATGTTTCAATACTCTCTCAATTCAAATCAACTGAATTCAATTTAACAAGCACTTTATTGAACGCCTACCAGTTCTAGGCAATGCAAAGACAAAACCCAGAGTCCCTGACCTCAGGGAGTTTACATTTTACTTCTTCAATTCCAAAGGTAGGAGACTGGGAAGTCCAGAGACCTGGCTTTTGCCTACCTACCTAGGTGGGCTGCTACCCAGGAACCAGGCTTAGTTTGGGGCACACCCAGTATGTCTCTTGCAAAGGCAACTTGGCTCTCCCCTTGAGCCATCCTAGGTAAGCATTTGACATGATGAGATGCTCACCAGATCCAGAGAATCCCACAAAATCATGCAAGTCAAGGGGGTCAAATCTCAAGTCCATTTTAAGAACCCTTGTGAAACTACCCAAGCCCTCAAGGGCTTTCACATCTGAAAAGGAACCAAGTATGTGAAAGATGGTGACATTAAAGAAACAACATACTCCGTTCCATCAGTACGATAGGGGAGTTGACAGGCATGGCCATGATAAGCCATGGTCGTTGGCCCAAAAAGAGGGCTGAGTTCTGGCTGCATATGCTCAAAAATGTAGAAAGTGATGGAGAACTAAAGAGTTTGGATGCGCCTTCTCTTGTCATTAACTCTGTAATGCGCACGTATACTTACAGGGCTCCTGGACCAATCAGTTCACACATGAGTTCCCCTTATCATAATGATATGATACTGAAAAGGAAGAACTCATCCCTAAGCCAGAAGAGGAGATTACTCAAAAGACGCCCCAAAAGAAATGGAAGAAACCAAAACTTATTGCTTCAGAGTAAACGTGACTTGAAAGTGCAAATAAAAGTGGAATTAAAAAGTTTTTAAAAAGAGAGAGAAGTCAGAACCCAGTCATGCTATTCAACACTCACACCTGACTCCTAATCAGCCCAGTTGCTTCTGGAACCAGGAATTATCAGAACTAGAAGGGACCTCAGAGGCTATTTAATACAAATTCAGGGAAGGAATCAGAAGTTTCCTCAGCAGGGAGGTGACTTGTCCAAGATCATACAAACTCATGAAGGATGTAGGACTAGAACCCAAGACTCCTGACTGCCATGCCAGTGAGACTTCCCCTTGATCACACAGCCTCGCTGAAGAGGAAGTCGCCTACAAGACTCTGGCCTTGATATCAGGACAAACATATACATTTAGAGCTGGAATAAATAGGCTGCCTTAAGAATCAGCAGGTTCACTCTCCCTGGTGGGTGTTCAAGCAGAAGCTGGAGGACCACTTGTCTGGAGGGTCATCCCTGGGGTTCTTTTCTTGTACGGGTTGCATTAGAGGGTTGCACGGGAGCTTTTCAGCTCTCTGTGATTCTGTGGCCTAAATTCTGGTTAGATTAGCAGCCAGCTAATCTAACTGTGGGCAAAGACATCAGAAGTCACAAGAGGAGAGAAGAATGAGCATGAAGATCACAATGATGTAGTGAATATAAGGCACTGGACTTGAAGTCCAGAAGACATGGGTTCGAATCCTGCCTCAGACACTCATTAGTTGTGCAATTTTGGGTGAATAATTTAAACTTTCTCAGCCTGAGGGCCAATCATCTGTAAACTGAGGGAGCTGTACACAATGGCTTTCCAAGATCCTTTCAGCTCTAATTCTATGATCCCATGAAGGCCTGAAGGTCAAGGACTGGGAGTTCTTTGACTTGAAGGATGGTAATGGGAGAGAGACCGGCTCAGACCCTAAAAGAGCCCCACTTACAGGCAGTCTTCAGACTGGGGGATGTAGTAGAAATCAGGGACTTTTGCTTCATATTTTGCCTTGGAACAGAGGTTTCCGTTTCGTGTCATGAACTGAAAAACAAAAGTCAGCTTGGCGACTGGTGGCAGGATCAGCGTCTGGGCCTGGGCCCTTCCTCCTCTCCAGCCCCCGCCTCCCGCCTGCCTCTTGCACTCCCCCATTTCCCTGCGTGATCTTAGAGCCTACAATGTAACATGAAACCACAGCAAGTGCAAATTCCTGTCTTTCAAGGGAGGCGCACCATGGTCATGGGGAGAGGCTGCTGCCCTGGTCCTAGAGCCACTGCTGGTTATTCTGCCATAAGCCTGGTGGCTCTAGGCTCCAATAATGAGCTCCAGCCACAGGCCATCCTGGCACGCTGCTGGCCGGGATAGTGGTAGATCAGGCTCGGCCAGGGCTGCCTTCCAGGGGAGCAGAGGGATCCACATTATTGAATCAGGCAGATGCCTGCAGACACTAGGAAGCATTTGGGGGCTTGGCAACTGGATTTGCCACACATCTGATTTTTCCTTTTGATCCGGATGCTTTGACATCTTGTAGCCCCCTGAGGCAAACTACAGGGGTGCTGAAAACAGTGGCTACTGCTGGACCGTCACAGATCAGGCTGGATGAGTGCCCAGGGAGGAACCGAATGCCAACCTTTCAGTTAAAATCTCTGCCCATGGACACAGTTAACTCTCTATCATCCACATTCACTTTCTGTATTGCCTGGGAGATCTTAACACCCAGCTTCCTAGCCATCAGCATCCGATAGCTCTGGAAATGAAAGAGTGTGCACGTGCGTGTGTGTGTGTGTGTGTGCGTGTGTGTGTGTGTGCGTGTGTGTGTGATTTCTTTGTTGTAGGAAACTCCCAGGTTAGGAAACTGCCTTCACTGTTACAGCTTGACAGCTTCTCTTCACCATACAGTCTTAGAGAGTTTTCCTGGGGCACTAAGAGCTTAAGCGACTTGCTTAGAGTCTCAGTGCCAAGATGTGTTAGAGATGGGATCTGAACTCAGGTCTTCCTGAATCCAAGACAGCTTTCTGTCTACTCTACCAAAATGCATCTTGCATTCTCATTTTAACATCACTCTGAGCTGAGCTGGAAGGAGGTAAATTTTCCCGGGAAAAAGGACTGGGGTCTATTTCCCCAGTCAAAGAGATTTGGGGGAATTATCTGATATTTGGAGATTTTATGGCCACCACTACTCTCTGTGAGAGAGGCAACCTGACATAATAGGAGAGAGGTGGCTGCTGAATCAGGAAGATCTGGTCCTAAGTCCCTCCCGGACACATACTGACTGGCTTATTTACATTTTACTCCCCTCCACAACACACTCTATGATCCTGCCAGACTGACCGGCTACATGTTCCTTGAATATGTACGTACGCCTTTCCATATTGCATCTCAACGCCTTTGTATGTGGCTGTTTCTTATGCCTAGAATACACCCCCTTTCCCACTCCCCTCCCCCTTGAATCCCTGGCTTCCTTCAAGGCTCAGCTTAAATGCCACCTTCCCCTGGAGGCCTTTCCTGGTCCCCCGCCAGGTGCTAGAACCTTGCCCTCTAAGGTTACCTCAGTAGGTATCTTATGCCTATGCTTTTGACTGCCAGACTTTGCTCCCAAATTCAAATATAAATTCCTTGAAGGCAGAAACTATTTTTGCCTTTTTTTTTCTCTAGCACTTAGCACCGTGCCAAAACACATAAGTGCTTAATAAATGCTGATTTACTAGAGGTTGTTGACTCGATTTAACCTTTCAGTGCTCAAGGCAACTCTCTAAGACTAAGCTGTAGAGAAGGGGTGAGATCCGTCTTGGGTAAAGGGAATTTCTCATCCAGGAGTTCTCTTTACCAGTGAAATCGGAGGTCCAGTCCCTGAATAGGGGTAAAGGATGATTAGCCCCAGGGCTGCCCACTATTGTCATCGTTACATCTAAGAAATGGGAATATATGGGGGCCAGCCTTGAACACTGCTGCTCTAGGTTCAGTGTTTGTTTCTTGGGGTGTTGTGGGGCAAAGAACTGGCTTGAGAAGCAAGGGACCTTGGTTCAATTCCCCTCTGTGTATGTATCTGGGATGGAACTATGTGGTATGCACATGCTTTGGACTGATTGCTTAACTGCTCCATTAAATAAGCTCCTTTGAGCAAATCGCTTCCCTCCCGGCCTCAGTTTTCCTCCGCTAGAAAAGGAGAGATTCTGGGAGTCCCTGTCATCTCTGACATTCCGACTATGATTCTGTAGCCCCGTTCCCTCTTCTACCTCCACGATACTGTCATCCCAGAAGTCGAGTCGAACCGACTTCACTTTACTGATCTCAGGGAAGTTCCGATGCACTCCAGAGCAATTCAGGCAGATGAAAATCCCCAGCTTGTAGGAGGCCCAGTCAGGATCTGCAGGGGAAGAGAGAGGACAGCTAGAAAACTGGATTGGGGTGGGGCTTAGCTGCAGACAGATAGCCCAGAGTGCTGCTGCTGGCACTTCGGGGAGCAGGGATGGATTGTCGTGGCTGCGTGGGCAAGGGGCTGGTGCACAATCTAATGGACACGTGGAGGAAAACCTAGCTTTGCGCCAGAGTCTGAGAATCAGGGCTATCGGCTCTAACTTCCATCCTAACACCAATTTTAAGGGAGTACCCTACTTTCTCAACTTCAAAATCCTCCCACGCACCATCTCCCCCAACAGGTGGACACCTCACCTGCGCAGGAGTCTTACTGAATGCTAAACAGCCTCGTTGAAAGAACGGTGAATCTGAGCGAAGACAAACTACTGAAAGGTCCATTTCTAAGGGGATAGGAAGGAAGGACAGGGCTAGGAAATACCAACGGAGTGAGGAGGGTGAAGAGGGCTTGGGCCAGGGAGCCGGTAGAAAAGCACAGAGGAAACAAGGGAGCTGGGATGGGCAGAGGCAAGAGAAGATTGAGGGCTCTCCGGGTGTGGGTCCGACTGCTGGGAGACTTCATGGTCCAGGCTGGGGGTGCGCTATCGCCATGCGCGCCCGGGGCCCCGAGGTGTCTGGGTCTCTTACCTGGCGCCCCGCAGTCCGCGCACACCTCGTTGCCTGTGCCAGCCGCACGCAGAAGCTCCAGCAAGCGCCTCTTGTTGTGCTCCCGGTCCCCCATCGCCCGCCAGGGGCTCCCTGCTCAGCCAGCGCGGCCCCCGAGAAGGTCTCGGAGTTCCTGGAGAGCCCAGGCTCCGGCCATGGTGTGTGCGTCCGGTCAGCTCCGCGCCGTGGCTCGCCTCTCATGGGGAAGAGTGACCGCTCGGGAGCGAAGCCGACGCCCCGGCCCGCCCCGCTCCACTCAGTCCCCGCCCAAACAAGGAGCTGAGATTTTTTCTTTTTCTTTTTTGTTTGCCTATTAGTTTGTGTTTGTTCCTGGGTGCACTACAGTGAGGGACAGTGGCGGGGCCGTGCAGGGAGCCTGTGTTTACGTCCTTGTAGAAGTGGACATTAGAGGTTGCATGGAACAGTGGGAAAAGCATTGAATTTGGAGTGAGGAACCTCCGGATTCAAATTCCACCTCCAGCTCTTCCTAGCTGTGTAATCTTGAACTAATCGCTTAATTTTCCCGGATCTCAGTTTCCTCATCTGTAAAATGGTCATAATAGGATCCAGAGCTGGAAAGAACCTCAGAGGCCCTCCAGAACAACAATGTTACAATTGAGGAAACTGAGGTCCGGGAAAGTTAAGTGATTTGCACTAGGACACCAAACAGAATTTGAACTCAAGTCCTCTGACTTCAGAAGTAGTGCCCTTTCCATTGCACCACATTGCCTCAATGTTAGCAGAGCGCTGGTCCTGGAGTTGGCAAGACCTGAGTTCAAATATGACCTCAGACTAGTTGGACAAATCGCTTAATCTCGCTCAGCCTCAGTTTCCTTCTGTAAAATGGAGATCATAATAGCACCCCACCCCCACCCCTTGCCAGGGTGGTTGGGTGCGCAAAATAAGACAATAGGTGTAGGGCATTTTGTAAACTTTCAAGCCCTATATTACTGACCTCACAGGGATGTTGCAAGGGACAAATGAAATAATTATGTAAAGGGCTCTGAAACGCTAAAAGCTTTATTACTATTATTGCTCTGTGCACTCGTGTGCATATATATCTGAAATCTTGACAGCTACCTACCAGCAAAGAGCGTGACCCAGAGAGAGCCCTTTGATGTTTAACCTAGCCTAAAGTATCATGGGAGTTAGGGAAATGGAAGAAGACTTTAGAGCAGATCTCCAAAACCCTGGCTTGACAGGTGAGAAAATCTAAGGCTGAGCAAAGTTGAGTGATTTGACAGCAAAAAACTTTGTCTCAAAATTCAGTTTAAAAAAACTGAAGCCATCTCTCCACACTTCAAATCACTTCTTCATCATCTCTGACTCCTCTCTTCTTTGTTGCAGGCTCAGAGGATGAGGTGGCTCTTCTTGCAAGCACCAACCCCTTCAGGTGTGTAACTTATCTTCTCAATTATCCCCCTTCTCACTTGAATTTTTTTTTTTAGGCAATTGGGGTTAAGTGACTTGGCCAGAATCACACAGCTAAGAAATATTATGTGTCTGAGGTGGAATCTGAACTCAGGTCCTCTTGACTCCAGGGCAGGTGTTCTATCCACTTTGCCACCTAGCTGCCTCCATCTTTTTTTTTTTAGTTAACCATGTTTTTATTGGTGTATTTTGTTTTTACGTTACATTTATTTCTGAATATATTACTCCCCACCTCGTAAAGGCAGTAACTTGACCCTGGTAACAACCATTTAAAAAAAACCCAATTGTGTTAGACCCTGACAACGTATGGAATATCCCACACTCCATCTCTGTGATGTGTAATATGCAGTATTCCACATTCCTCCAGCTCTGTAGTGAAGGGTTTCTCCCTAATTTAAAATCTCTCCTTCCCTATTTCTTACAAATACACCCAGATATCAGACTAGAACTCTTTCCTCCTAGTTTGTTGTTCTACTCACACATCACTAACCTTCCAAATCCAGATTGACACCTAAGGGGCATGCCAATGTGATTTAGTGAGTGGTACCCTGGACTTGAAGTCAGAAAGATCTGGCTTCATACATTTACTAGCTTTGTGACCCTGGGCAAGTCACTGAAAGTTTCTCTGCTTCATTCTTGAATGGAAAGTGAGGGATTTGGATCCTTGCAGCTCTAAATTGATGATTTTAGATTAGGCAGACACTCAGACACTGTGATTGACGGGCATTGTTGGGTTCCCCTACCCGAAAATACCTGCCAGCTCAGGTGCCTGTAATCCCTAGCATTCTGTTTAAATGCAAGGGTGCTGCCTGAGGGAGTTAGCACTTCAAGTTCAAAAATAAACAAATAAAACAAAGTTCCCAGACTTGTCACCGTCTTAAAAACCTTCACTTCATTCTACAGCCCCTGGAGCCATGCTCATAAGTTCCTCTTCCTGTTCATAACCAAATTCCTGGAAAAAGCGTTTTTTTATTCCATTTTCTTCTCACTCCCCTTTCACTTCTCCACCCGTTATAACCTAACTTGTAAACTCCTCACTCAACTGACTCTTTTGCAGCATCCAATACCAGTGGTTCTGCTCTCCCGCACCCTCTCCCCTCTCTGGGTTTTCTTAGCACTTCTCTCTCCTAGTTTTCCTCCTACCCTCTCCGGCTCCTCATTGGGATCACCAGGCAGGTCAGCAACCCTGCTGGTTTGGGTTTTTCTTTTTTAATCTGAATTTAACAAATGTAAAATAAAATGAGCATTTTCATGTCAAGTCAATAAGCATTTATTAAACACTTGCTATGTGTCAGGCCCTGTGCTAAGCACAAGGGATACAAAGAAAGGCAAAAGACAATCTCAGCTGTTAAGGAACTCACAGTTTAATGGGGGGGGCAAGGAAAACAACATGCAAACAGTTATGTACAAATAAAATATACACAGGAAAAACTGGAGATAATCAAGGAAAAACGCTAGCATTAAGGAGGGTTGGGAAAGGCTTCCTGTAGAAGGTGGAATTTTAGCAGGGACTTGAAAGAAGTCAGAGAAGTCAGGAGGTGGAGGTGGGGAGGCAGAGAATTCTAGGAGTGGAGTGAAAATGTCTAGAGTTGGGAGGTGGAGCATCTTGTTCAGGGAACGGCAAGGAAGCCAGTAGATTGTAGAGTATCTGAAAAGGAATAAAGATGTAAGAAAAATAGAAAGGTAGGAAGGACCCAAGTTAGGAAGGACTTTAAATTTGAGAATTTTATATTTGATCCTGGAGGTGATATAGAGCCACTAAATATATATAAAGGGGTTTTTTTATTAATAAATTAATATGGAGTTTATTGACTATGGGGGTGATATGGTCAGACTTGCACTTTAGAAATCAATCAGTCCATTAATAAAAATTTATAAGCACCTACTATGTGCCAGGCACTGTGCTGAGTGCTCTGGGTACAAAGAATGCTAAAGGACAGTCTCTGCTCTCAAGGAATTAATATTCGAATGGGGGAGACAACATACAAATAACTATATACAAACAAGGAAGGGGGGGTGAGAGGGAAAGAGCAACCAAGAATAGAGTTGCACACAAAAAAAAAGGAAGAAAAAGAAAAGAAAGCAAAGAGGGTCATTGAAGCATAAAAAAAATACAAAGACAAGAACCGAATATGCAAACAAGACAACTTTGAAATGTACATGTTGAATTTATTAGATAATTAAAAAGAAAAACAAACTGTCCATAATGGAGACTCCCAGTTTCATGTACATGACTTTTCTGTTATACTAGATATATGTACATACATATATATACATATATACATACATACATACATACATACATACATACATACATACATACATACATACATACATACATATATATCTCACCAATGATCTCTTAATTGCCTTTTCTGGGCCCTCATCTTTCTTGACTCTCTGCAGCCTTTAGCAGTATTGATCACCTTCTTTTCCCTGATACTCTTTTCTCTAGGTTTTCCTAACACTGCACCCCTCCTAGTTCTCCTCCTACCATGTGACTTCTCAGAATCCTTTGCTATATCTTCATCCAGATCATACCATTAGCTTCAGGAGTATCAGAAGGCTTGGTCCTTCTCCCTTTTACATGGTTTCACTCTGTGATCTTATCAGCTCCCATGGACTCCATTATCATCTCTATGCAGATGATTCTCAGATCTATTTATCTAGCCCTCATTTCCCTCCAGAGGGCAGCTAGATGGCATAGTGGATAGAGATCTGGGCCTGAAGTCAATAAGACTCATCTTCCTGAGTTCAAATTGGCCTCAGATGTTTACTAGCTGTGTGACCCTGGGCAAGTCACTTCACCTTGTTTGCATCAGTTTCCTCATTTGTTAAATGAGCTGGAGAAAGAAATGGCAAACAAATCACGCCAGTATCTTTGCTGCTGTGTCGATGGAATTCTCCGGTACACTCAAAAGGCAACAGGCCTTGTCTTTGTTCTCTTGATTTTGACTCTTCCAGTCTGAGACAGCATCCCGGGAAGAGACTAATTATCTGTGAAACCTTGGGCAGGTCTTTGAGCTTTCTCTGGGTTTCAATTTCCTCATCAGTAAAACAAGGGCCAAAATCCACACTCTAACAAGTTGTCATGAGAATCAAATGAGATCATTGTGTAACAGTGGTTTGAATGAAACCCACACAGTGTTAGAGAAATAAAAAGTGTTACTATTATCAGCCTAACGGTTAGTGTCTGAGCCACATCTGATCTGTGCTGGAGGTCAGTCACTAGCCTGGACCATCATCCTGGGAGCTGGAGGTCTCTTCCATTCTTCCACTTAGCACTAAGTGACGTTAAGACAGTTGAGGGATTCTGGGAATGAAGGGAATCTGTGACTGAGGGGGGTGAGGAGACAACCACAGAAACTGGTCAGAGAGTCAAGCATCATTGGGAAAGGCTAAGATGGGGATCAAAGGGCATTGGGATGGCTCACTGCAAGGGCACAAAGATGATTCATTTCCTATGTTTAGAAAAGGAACAAGACAGAAATAAATCTCTTAAGAAATGGATGAGAAAGAAAGTCTGAGGCAGGAGAAGGGCTTGATAAACCAAGGAAGCAATCATTTTTCCTCTGCCTGAGACCCTAGGCCTAGGAAGTAAAATTTGTCTGAGGGACCCAGTGGCTGGGGCACAATGGTAAATGTTTAACAAGAGGCTCTTTAATAAGGACAGCACTTTTTTATCTTTAATCAGCATCGTTCACGTTTTCTCCTTCACTTATTTAAGTCTGGACAGTCAACAAAACAATAAGTCAAGCCCTGATTTGTAGCTTTTACTGTTTTCTGAAGTGTATTTTCTCACCCAGAACATTTAACAATCAGCTCTCTGGAGAAGTCCTGGCCTAGCCTTTCATCCTCTGGCAGCTGCTCTTCCATTCAGACAGACAGTTCGTAGGAGCATTGATTTAGACGTGGGAAGGAGCTCAGAAGTGATTGAGTCCAACTCAAACGAGGGAGCTGGGGCCCATGCAGTTTAAGTAACTTGTTCAAGGTCACGCAGGTAGTAAGTGACAGAGCTGGGACTTAACCTCAGATCCTCTGATATCAACTCCACTCCTCTCTTTTCCATATTCCCCTTAAAAAAAAATCTGCCATCAAGAAACAATCTGCAACATATTCACATTAAGGGGTAAGTGCATGATAATAGTCCTAATCAGGGCAGCTAGGTAGTGAAGTGGATAAAGCTCTGGCCTTGGAGTCAAGAGGACCTGAGTTCAAATCTGAACTCAGATATTTGACATTTACCACCTGTGTGACCCTGGGAAAGCCACTTAACCCTGATTGCCTCACCAAAAGCAAAAATAATAATAATAGTAGCTCTAATCACCTCTTCTCCGGAGTTGTTGCATCTTTAGCCCTAAGCTAAAGTCTTGAAGTTCTGAGTGGGACAGTTGCAGTTATTGTCCAGCTGTATTTTCCGTCTGGGGCTCCTGAAATCGAACCACCCAATAACTAAGGCTCTGCCTCTGATCTTTGCCCCTCTTTTCCCCAGCTCCTCCCTTTTGGGTTGCTTCGGGCTGTGAAAACTTGAACTCAGTCCCAAAAGTTGAGTTTTGGGCCAGGAAACTTCAAAAAGGGCACAAGAGAGGGAAGAGAGGGACAGAGAGCCTTAATGGCTTTAAAAAAAATGCCATCCTCGTCTATTTGTCCCTGCCCTTGGTTGGTTGTCTTGGTGGCCTGACCAGGCTTTGCTGATTCAATTTGATCCTCTATGTGACCAAGGCTACACCAGGCAGCCAGCAGCTTGTGATCGTGCCTCTAGTTCTCTTCCCTCTGTGTAAAGCTAAGTGGATCATTTCAGAACCATAAACGACTCAAGAACTCACCGCTCTCACCAGCTAGGACAGCTGAAGTTTTTAATTCAATTCATTTGAATTCAAAAAACACTTACGAAGTACCTACTAATTTGAAAGGCACTGTGGTAGGTGATGGGGGTCCAAAAACAGTCCCTGCCCTCAAGCA